GATGACCTGGCTCTTCTATCGCACACTCAACAACAAATGCAAGAGAAGACGACCAGTGTAGCAGCAGCCTCTGCAGCAGTAGGTCTCAACATACATAAAGGAAAAAGCAAAATTCTCCGATGCAACACAACATGCACCAATCAAATCACGCTTGATGGAGATGCTTTCGAGGACGTTAACAACTTTACATATCTTGGCAGCATCATCGACGAGAAAGGTGGATCTGATGCAGATGTGAGGGCGCGGATTGGCAAAGCAAGGGCTGCATTTCTACAGTTGAAAAATATCTGGAACTCCAAACAAATATCAATCAACACCAAAATCATGATTTTCAATACAAATGTCAAGACAGTTCTACTGTATGGAGTTGAAACATGGAGAACTACGAAAGGCATCATCCAGGAGATACAAGTGTTTATTAACAGTTGTCTACGCAAAATACTTCGGATTCATTGGCCAGACACCATCGGCAACAACGAACTGTGGGAGAGAACAAGTCAGATTCCAGTGGAGGAGGAAATCAGGAAGAAGCGGTGGAATTGTATAAGACACACACTACGATAATCACGTAACTGCGTTACAAGACAAGTCCTCACATGCAATCCTCAAGGCAACAGGAAAAGAAGGAGGCCAAGGAACACATTACGCCGTGAAATTGAGAAAGATATGAGAAGAATGAACAAACATTTGACAGAACTTGAGAGCAAAGCCCAGAACAGAGTCGGTTGGCGAAAACTGGTGAGCGGCCTATACTCCATTAGGGAGTAACAGGCGTAAGTAAGTAATTAAGTACTACATGAGTGAATGAAAACTGCGTCTTTGACCAAAGGCCAAATGTTAGTCAATGAAAATCATCCGAATGAATACTGATTAGAATTAATGTATCACAAGGCGCCATGTACGTTCCGTTGTCGTCTCTTCTCTGTGTCAAATAACGAACGAGACAACTTAAATCGTCAATAATTTGATTGGTAGATGATGTCGAAATTCAGACAACAATTTGAATTATTTACTTATGATATCTGAAGTGAAGTCATTCTCAGTGCTTCAATTTTCACTGTTCAATATTCAATTTTACTATAGATTCTCTAAAATATTTCAAACTATTCATGGCTAATATTAGTATTATTACTATTAGTAATATTAATAGTAGTAGCACTATTTATGTAGATGACTAGAGTACAAGAGTTCACTGGTTTCTCAAATTCAACTTTCAGGTTGAATTTGTGCTAATAAACAATACCAATGATACTACTACTACTACTGCTACTACTATTAATACTTTTAAATGGAAATGTCGTGATAGTGTATGAGTAAGATATTCAACTGATTGTATAAAACATTTCATTCTTATGAAGTATTCATTGGAATGTTTACCACAAATAGTGTGGTACGATAGAAGAGAACATCGACATAACTTCAGTAATTCAATAAAACAAGGAAAGAGAAATCTTATGACTCTGTAAACTTATTAACGTTTGCATATTATTTGTATGATTGTTGTGATCTTGCGCTGGGGAATCTATGAACTGAATGATTCTCAACATGCGGGAATCGAGTTTTATGAGTGCGGGATGTGGCTGCGCACTGTTGATAAGTTCCGTAGCAGGACGAAGTGATGGTTATGTGAAATGTGTTCATGAATTATTATGATGTCAATCATTTCTTATGGTTAGCGATGTTGTGATGTTGGAAACATCTGAACCTCGAAACGACTGATGCTCAGCCACAATGATGTTATCATTTTCAGTACAAATTATATTGTAATACTTGATCTATTCAGTGTTGTTTGGATACGGAGAATCATATCGTCAATCATCCACAAGATTTTAGATGTTTATAAACTATCGTTCACACAAGACATTCCATAACTATTGATCGAGACACAATGAGTAATAACCCACTGTTGAAGTCAACAAATCAGCCTTCTTCAGATGAAGAAGTGATTATCAAAATTGATGATGGTGTTGGATAAGACAAAGATTGTGGAAATCACCAAATTCCATCAGAGGTTATTTCCTTACTTGGAGTTCCGAATGCTTAAGGAAGAATGGTGAAATTTGTCACACACACACACACTGTACCGACAATGTGAGACAGAAATGACAAGAATCAACAACGACTAGAAGCAAGTCGGAAGATGAGTGAAATGCGTTGATTGTTGAAAAATCATTTTTCGACGATGGATAAAAGGCGTTAGTAGGCATTTGACGTCTGAATAACATCACCAGAAGAACAATGAAAACTCCTCAACAAAAACATCCACCGTAGAAAGTGAAAATCCACCACATTCATCCTTATGAATAACAAATTTTATTCATCATCTCAAGACTAAGTATTTACAGTCAGTCAATGATAAACTAGGCATGTGATGAGCGAAGCAAGCATGTACACTTACACTGTAATAAAAGCAATCGAGGTTATGAGTATGTAGTAGTAGACAAACTCGAAAAACATGCGAAAAACTGCAGAATAATGAATTTATTAATTTGTTCAAAGGTTGGTACACCCCTTGTGGTCTTGACATAGTTGCACATAGGCGTTCACGCACAATACCGAATGTCCTGGGTTCGAATAATACGGGGTGCAGGAGTCGTGGATGCGCACTGCTGAGTAGTCCCATACCAGGACGAAACGATTGTCCAGTACTTCCAAGTTTCTAATCGTGGTCTAACATTGATTGATTCATAATTTCAATACTGTGTAACTTAAAAACATTCACAACAACCCCGCAATGCAGATACAGTAAAGTCCAATTATATCCAAGCATTCGATAAAGGAAAGTTTTCTAGTTTGTAAAATGGAATATTAACAGGTTTCACAATGATTTGAATACTGATGACACAGAAAGTTAAGATGAATTGTGTATTGTTAGTAATATTTTTATGCAGTTTCAGTTTGTATTAACTCTACTGTAAATAGTAAATAAAGTGAATGAAACTAAATGACAAAGCGAAATGGTAAGTTCCTGATAAATCACTACAGTTATACACTTTGATTTCCTTCCGGTTTACATTACTCTCGTATGTGTTCATGAGAAAGTTGAATAATGTTCGGTGAATCTGATGTGATATCTATCACAGTTTCCTATTATTTCACTATCCACTCAGAAATAGAGCAAACCTTGCTTGTTTTATCTGAATTTTTAAAACGTGATCATGATGAATGAATTTCTAAATGCTTCTTAGTTCTGTTTCTTGCGTTGACAAAGTGATCGTGCTATGTGTTATATTTATTTAGTGATTTAACGAGAATATCAATTTGAAAATTTGGATGAAGTGTGTGTGTATGTGTGTGTGCGTGTAAATGAATAAAATCCATTTCTCCATATTTTCCTCCTCGAAGAAAGAAACGAACCCAATCGATAGTGTGATGCATCGTGTTCACGTCCTCGCTGAAAAGAAATAACTAGAAACCAGATAGATTATATTCAGAGTTTGCTCAGTATGAACGAATATCTAGTGAGATGCATGAACAGATGTAAAAATCTAGACAGTGACACGTTTATATCAAACAGTCACTAATCATCTATAGAACGTTTTGCCAGGTAATATTGTCTTTCTTATAACAGTCCTACAATCATAGTTGCAATGAAAACAAACTTCCCGAAATTCGCGTTATCTCTCTCTATGAATTGATCAATTCATGTGTTTTCGTGGATCTAGTTACACTGGGTGAATAGTTATAGGAGTCGATGGTTGAATAAGCGAATATTATCTCGTATGGCTTAGCACAATGTCAAAACAGTTGATAAATATCTAAATTTTTATTCTCATTGCTGGAATCAGGAACCACATAGTCAGTCATACAACAATCATTTCCGACTTTCCACCAAATCTCACCGAAATCATCAACACTTGGTTTGTGCAAACATCACTGAAAGACGAGAAAAGCCGTTGTTCTTCAATCAAACAAACAACTCATATTAATGTTTGTGATAGGCATAAGACTTCGTGAAACTCATTCAACGTTTGGTTATTTTGTGTAGATAAGCTCACTTATGCATTTGATATTTGATGCCTAATCATGTGGTGAGCATTAGGTAAAGATGTGTATCAAGTGTTCAAGCATCTTGGTCTGATGTCTGACGTTACAATCGCAACTAATTCAATCGCCTTTCCGTCGCACTAATACACATCACTAACAGTCGATATGTTGCATAGATTTCATCCACTACCATACTGCACATTACAGAATATGATCATTGCACATAATAACTTGATATTCAATATCACAAACTTACAAATTCCTAATCACAATGTTAATTTCATTCTTATATATTTGTTTTGAGTTGAAACACGTTCATTGTGAGCGCTTTGTTAGATGCCTCAATTAACTTCGAACATCCAAGTTGCATTGAAATAAACATTGTCACAAATAATCACTCTCAATAAACTATTTAAAAACTTTGCATGGAATTACTATGAATTACCAAGTAAACCAGATAAGGCGAATACCAATCATATTAGTACACGATAACAGACTCAGAAATTCCATTTCATCTCATTGGTCCGTATCGATATAAATATAGAAAGGTAGGCGGCTGCTTCGTCTTCTACTTCTTCTATAATCGTTCATTCACTTAAACACTTCTAACTAAGTAGTGCATTGTAGAAATAGAATGCGTTTATCAACGACTTGCTTCATCTTATGCCTAACAGTCACATTCACAATCATTCAAGCATATCAATGTAAGTTTTAAATATTCCATATTGAAATTCGATATTATTATGTGATATTTTCATTGTTGGTAAAATGTTTTGTTACGATAAACATTATGTGTCTGATTAACAAGCTCAAACCTAGGCAAATTCGTTTGACTAATTGTTGATTACATCGAGAATGACAAATGTCCATTTTAAATCACGTTGTCATAATTTTTTAATTGGACAAGTCATTATAACACAAGAATAGAATGTTACATGTACACATGACCATTGCATAAATCGCTTGACAATACGTACCTAAAATAATTTTGGTGTCTTTTTTTCTAAATTCAGATTCACCTGATCAAGTCGATGATAATACCGAAGAAAATACGGAGATGTTCAACGGTATTTTTCACACTTACACAGCCGGTGAGAATTTAGAACATGAAGTAAGCACGACAGTCAGTGCTACTAATGACAAGAAAAAAGACGATGGCGATGAATATGAAGAAGGTGAGAAATTAGGAGATAGTAATAAAAATTTTATGATAAAGATGATGTTGAGAAAATGGTGTAAATTTGAGATACCAGTTAGACGAGAAATGAAATTAGGATGACTAATTTACAATTCCATATTCTAGATTCTATGCCCTAGGAATCCGAATCACTTGTTACTAGTATCCTTATGGCTGTCTAGGCTCAGCACATCATGAGTGATCACTGGAGGCAGTTATGATCCATTGTTTAGTTGATCATCATATATGAACTGAATAAAAATAAAATTGTAGACACACTGAAGAGTAATACATTTGTTCAACATCATACATCAGTCAGTAAACATGATTGTTGTGTGTTGCAAACTAGGTTAAATCATTGTAATGTAATGATCGTATTTAGTGTCACATGGAAATTTGATTGACATACAAAACTATCATTCACATTTACTAGTTAGTTGTAAAAATACAATTCAATGTGAATCAATCATTTATAATTTCAATAGAAAAATATTGTTCCCTTTAATGAATTATCATTTATCATCATTTTTCTTAATTTCTTTTTCATAAATCGGAAAGATTTTTGGAAACTGTTTTGAATGTGTGTTTTTTTGTTTTCAAATAACACCATGTAACTCATTAAAATTTGAATAAAATTAATTTTTACTTTTACATAAATTGTTGTTTTTCCTAAAAACCAAATTTCATGAAATAATATCACTAGAGAATGAATCGATTGTGATTGCATTATCGTTAAGTTGCGTGTGAGCAAACATGTGTCAATATCAATAAATAGACATCAGAGCTCAATGAAATGCTCAGAAAATTCTTCAGTGTATAAGTGCACAGTGTAGAACTTTGTGGAACTTTTGATCAGCTTCTAGTGCAGATGATCAGTAGAAATCAGACTCAAATAAATGCGCATAATCACAGATTACAGATGACACCATACTCTCCAACTTGATGAAATATATATATGAAAGCATATAATAAAGCTATCATCATGTTGAGTTACTCCAAGTACAGATACGGCTTAAGATGTAATCGTCAGGAAGATAATATGGACTGTAGCGTATCTGTAATTTGGTCACTAACCCAAATGTTGACCTTATAATACAACAAGCATTCTCACATGTACCAATATCATGCACTTCAGAGATGCTAGGATTAACGCTGAACGGATTTCTCACATAGAAATTAATTCTCCTCCCTTGTGACTTATGACCGAATGTAATGCAATGCAGGTGTATCTGGTATCGATTAGAGAGCAGTCTTTAACGAACCACGTTTCTGCGACAGGAAATGCATTGCAACTCACTTCTATCGTCATTAAACTGAGCTCCGATATTTTGTTTCTTAGATTGTGGATCTGTAGCACATCCTTTGGTTGTGTTGCGTATTACACGTTCTACACAAATTGGCGGGTAAGATGAATACGTAAGAAGATCATAGCAAGTCACCTACACACTCAAGAAAGACAGTTGGCATACGATAGTCGTAACTGCCCTTAACTATTGCATTCGTAGACTGAAAGAAATGTTGAACACAATTATCGGATTCCTCCATTGTCGCTTCACAAAAATACAGGTTTAGTAGCTGAGTCAGATTTGACAGAGGCTAAAACTTTATCAAACTAATTCAGTGAGGTATTCTCTACTCGTATTGCTAACAACACTTCTCACAATTATACCATCGAGATGCCAGTTATAGAACCAGCACTTGTGACTGAAAAAACTCGTGATTAATGCGGTTCTGTGGCGGTTGGTATTCTCTGTATACTGCACCTGCTGATAACATTTATTATATCACTACACAATTGATCAATCCATAGGCAAATGTCGACGAATCAGAAATGACATGAGAGTGTCGAAGAGCAAGTGAGCTAGACAATGAGCACTTTGGTGGTGAAGTCAGTAGAAAATGTATTAGTCATAGGATTATTGAGGGAGTACAACTATTACATCTTTAGGCGCTAAGCAATATTCAATCATACCTGCTCATACAAACCAGATCAGAACAATTGCACAGTGGCACAGATACGTTGTTGCTGTACAAATGACTGTCTATTAAAAGAGTTAATCAGAAGTCTTACTTAAATTTTATGAATTTGAACTGCCCTAGGCTGTTCTTCTTCCTAGCCGAAACCTGTAAGATATATGGGTCCTTGAAATTTCCACCCACAAATGCTGTGTTCTCTAGCAGACACTTTAGTGGAACAACACAGGATGCCTCACAACATATCCCGTTATCCATACACAACTCCTTACCAATTATAACGATCCTTTAATTAGACAAGAAACAGATTTTTACTAACTAAAACTACCTGTAAGTCTAATCAGCATTAGAGTTCACTCACTGAAACAGTTATTCAAACTTAGTTGCTGAGTCATGCACAAATAAACAACGTATCACCGAATCGAGTTTCAGAGGAAGTACTCATGCTTTACCTGATTACAAGTGGCTAGAGAGAATTAGATAGCAGCTAGACATAATGAGATGTTTGTCAACGTCACAATCAAAGATTGAAGTAAATCATTTGGTAAGGCTTCGCATTGATGTGGTCTACAGAGGCTCTCAAGTACTAAAATAACAGGTGCACTACATTACTTACTTACTTACTTACTTAAGCCTGTTACCCCCAATGGAGCATAGGCCGCCCACCAGTTTTCTCCAACCAACTCTGTCCTGGGCTTCTCTCTCCAGTTCTGTCCAATGTTTGTTCATTCTTCTCATATCTTTCTCTATTTCTCGGCGTAGTGTGTTCCTTGGCCTTCCTCTTTTCCTTTTGCCTTGAGGGTTCCATGTGAGGGCTTGTCTCGTGACGCAGTTCGGTGCTTTTCGTAGTGTGTGTCCTATCCACTTCCACCGCTTCTTCCTGATTTCCTCCTCCACTGGAATCTGACTTGTTCTCTCCCACAGTAAGTTGTTGCTGATGGTGTCTGGCCAACGAATCCGAAGTATTTTGCGTAGACAACTGTTAATAAACACTTGTATCTTCTGGATGATGGCTTTCGTAGTTCTCCAAGTTTCCGCTCCATACAGTAGAACTGTCTTCACATTTGTATTGAAAATCGTGATTTTGGTTTTGGTTGAAAGTTGTTTGAAGTTCCAGATGTTCTTCATCTGTAGAAATGCAGCCCTCGCTTTGCCAATCCGTGCCCTCACATCTGCATCCGATCCACCTTTCTCGTCGATGATGCTGCCCAGATATGTAAAGTTGTTAACGTCCTCGAAAGCATCTCCATCAAGAGTGATTTGGTTGGTGCATGTTGTGTTGCATCGGAGAATTTTGCTTTTTCCTTTATGTATGTTGAGACCTACTGCTGCAGAGGCTGCTGCTACACTGGTCGTCTTCTCCTGCATTTGTTGTTGAGTGTGCGATAGAAGAGCCAGGTCATCTGCGAAGTCCAGATCGTCGAGCTGCGTCCTAACTGTCCAGTTGATACCGTGCTTCCCTCCAGATGTTGACGTCTTCATAATCCAGTCGATGACCAGGAGAAAGAGAAAGGGTGAGAGTAAGCAACCTTGCCTGACACCGGTCTTCACCTCAAACGAGTTTGTCAGCTGACCTCCGTGCACGATTTTGCAGTTGAATCCATCATAAGAATTCCGTATGATGTTAACTATTTTCTCAGGCACACCGTAGTGTCGAAGAAGCCTCCACAGTGTTTTCCTATCCACGCTATCAAATGCTTTCTCGTAGTCGATGAAGTTGATGTAGAGTGGTGAGTTCCATTCAATTGATTGTTCCACAATGATCCGTAATGTAGCAATTTGGTCAGTACATGATCGATCCTTACGAAATCCGGCCTGTTGATCGCAAAGTCGGGCGTCTACGAAGTCCTTCATTCTGTTTAACAATACCCTGTTGAAGACTTTGCCTGGTATTGAAAGAAGAGTGATGCCTCTGTAGTTTTCACACTTGCTGAGATCGCCTTTCTTTGGTATTTTGATCAGGTATCCTTCTTTCCAATCTGATGGTACTTGTTCCTCATCCCAAATCTTCTTGAAGAGAATGTGAAATATTTTCGCGGTTGCTTCTACATCTGCTTTCATTGCCTCTGCTGGAATGTTGTCTGGTCCTGCTGCTTTGCCGCTCCTGATTTGTCTGATGGCCATACTGATCTCCTCAATTGTAGGTGCGCCAATATTAATTGGGAGGTCCTTGGATGCTGCTTCGATGTTAAGTGGAGCCGGTCGATTCAATAGTTCCTTAAAGTGCTCCACCCACCTATTTCGCTGTTCGTCAGTGTTGCTGATTATTTTCCCTTCCTTGCTTTTCACTGGTCGTTCATGTTTACGATAGTTTCAGGTGAGCTTCTTTCTGGTTCCATACAACTGTCTCATGTTTCCTTCTCTTGCAGCCTTTTCCGCCGTCATTGCTAGATCTTCCACATATTTTCGTTTGTCAGCTCTGATGCTCTTCTTCACTTCCCTGTTTGCTTCCGTGTATGCAGCTTGTGCGGTAACTTTCTCCGCTCTTGTTCGGCTGACATTCACTGCTGCCTTCTTGTCCCTCCTTTCTTCAATTTTTGCGAAAGTATCAACAGAGATCCATTCCTTGTGACGGTACTTCTTGTGACCCGGAACTTCGTGACATGCTGAAGTGATTGCCTCCTTAATCCATTTCCAATTGTTCTCCAATGTTGCGTCTTCTCCATTGAGTAGATTCTGAAAGGCCTTGAACCTATTGGTGAGGACTATCTTGAATTCGTTGAGCTTTACAGTATCCCGAAGAAAGGCCGTATTAAACTTCTGTGATGTCGTCTGCCCCGTTGTCCAGTGCTTCTTTAGTTTCAGTTTCATTTTGACGATTAGGAAATCGTGATCTGAAGCTATATCAGCTCCTCTCTTGCTTCTCACATCCTCCATAGTCCTTCTGAACGTTTTGTTGATACAGATATGATCAATCTGGTTTTGAGTAGTGTGATACAGTGAAATCCATGTAGCTTTGTGTATGCGTTTGTGCGGGAATATTGTGCCACCGATGACCAGTTTGTTGAAGGCACATAGGTTTGCAAATCTTTCACCGTTGTCGTTCCTTTGTCCGAGTCCATGTCGTCCCATGATGTCTTCATATCCAGTGTTGTCCATGCCAACCTTGGCATTCAGATCTCCCATAA